TTCCTTCACAAGAGGTTAGATGCTTCCTCAAAGTCTCAAAACGCACCTAGTGTCATAATTTTAAATATACTCTTTTACAGTACTCTAGAACTTTCAGTTTTTCTTTTCGTTCTAAAAGTATTACCTGGCTTTTGACCTTAAAGTGGTTAATAAACTGAATCACTTAGTTTAGCGTTAACCCTTTCACTGCCATGAGTGACCAAGACAGAATTTCTCCTTACAATATCAACAGAATATCAAGCAGACAAGTAATGAGAATAAAGATAAAATATCAATTAGGGGATCATTAGTTGATACAAAATTATCTTCGAAAGACCCTATAGAATTTCTCGAAATGTAACGCTTGTAGTAAAGTACGTCACGAAATGTAACGTATGTGTCATTTCATCAGATTCCGTGAATATCACGGGACGTGTGTTGAGTCGTAACCTGAAAAGAAACCTCAGGGTTCTTTCGGATACGAAGTTTCTTTGATGCTCGGATGTATTTATCGAGAAGTTGTCGGGTTAAGTCGTCTTGAAGAGTTGAAAATTTGTATACGCGAAGTTTTGTTACACCATCTGAGCATTAACTGATACTCACTAGTGTATTCTCCACTTTTGTCCTCAAAAAGTTTAATATCCAGTCTATTTTCTCCGTATGTGTATGAACCAAACCCCAATTCACATGTCTGGTTGTCAAACGGCCAGCTGATGATTTGTAAATCACAGTTCGCTTTGAATGTAGCAGGTCCACTCCACACACAGTTCCCATCGTTGTCCACAGAAACCTCAGTGACAAATTTCGTTCTTCCTCCAGCCAGGGTGATACTATCGTCTCCGCTAAAGTTGGTAAACGGAAAAATCTTAGGTTAAAATGTTACTTTCAAGGGTAACTTTCAAAAAATATTTCTCAACTATCGACTCTGTCGACCGAGTTGTCGAACGAGTGTCCACCGACATATTGATCGAGAGTACCAATATACCCGTCGAGAATACCTGTGGTAAACATGGTAACGCTCGAAACGTCAGCCTTTGTAATCGTTACGGTGGCCAATTTACCGTTTCAACTTTGTTGACATATGCAAATTATGTGGTAAACATGATCCGACTTTTTCTTGAAGAAACAGTGTAGACATTTTGTCCAAAACTGTTACAGTTGTAATTGTGAATTTTTTGCAAGTCGCACTACCTCATGTGAATTGTTGGTTCGGAAGCACTATCAATTCGTGATGTTGCCCCATTTTGTTACAAAGACTTGCTGCCACTCACTTGTTGTAAAGGGAAATATCTGGAACCCAGATCTCACTCGGAAGAAACTGCACGCGAGTTACATCTCCAAAGGCTTTCGAGTCCCATACGAGAAATTCATTTTTCCATTTCTGAAAGATGAATCAAATTAAAGTAATACGCCTTCGCGTCTCAGCCTGATCCTAGCAGGTACTTAAATATATTCTGTCTCCATTTTATTGATTAAATTGGTCGATACAAAAATTATAGCACAGCAAATTTCAACTAAGGGTCGAAAATATTCCGAGATAGCATTAGTTTTGCTTTACTTAATTTAGGTTAAACTGAATTGCAAAAGTAAGGATCTTTAATTTTTTTTCTTAAGTGGTTCATCGCAAGGCAAACCTTTTCCCTTTTCGCTTAAGTTGAATGTCAGCAAAAACTGATGAGTTTGAACTGACCTGTACCACCCAAGTGTCTAAAATTACAATCTGCTCTTTTGTGTCCTGCAAAATGAGAAATTCAAACAAATGAAACAAATGGTGTGCATAACCCCCTTCCCCTCTCTCTCTCTACCTCTGTCTTTCAGGTAATAACGACAGTACTAATAACAATCAGAAATTATATAACTATAACGTAAAAGACATAAATTTATTATCAAATGCGCTTTACGGTAAATAAAAAAATTGAAGTTGATAAGGACAGCTTAGTAGAATTAAATGAACATAAAAATTAACTAATATGAAAGAAACCTAATAATTCCTTCGAGAAGATAAAAACAATACATTACTGGCGCAACAAACTAAAACCTCGGCTGAAAAGGTGAGTTTTGAGACCATGGTAAACCAGATATATAGTCCAGGCCGAGTATGTCCCTTGTTAAACTATTCCGAAGGCATGGAGCTCCAGAGGAGAAGGCCCTTGCTTCTTGTGCGGGTAACATCTTGCCTCTTAGGTTCATTCGGAAATTTCCGATTATACTTTTAGTCCGTATTTCAAATTGGTAGGAATTTTAAAATCAATAAGCTTTCAATGATAAGCAAACGCAATATCATATACTGCTTATGAGAATACTAAAATAATCTTAAATTGTAATCGGTACTTAATAAGTAACCAGTGTTCGGTACAGCCAGCGTTTAAAGAGAAAATATCAGAGTACTAAGGTAGAGTACTTAGGTGGGGTATAAATGCGTATCAGTGACATGTCAAAAAGAACCTCACGCTGTGGTGATATAACTATACTCTGTCCTTGGTATAACCATGACACAGATGGTGGAAAAAATTTTCTTGTCACAGCCGCAAAACTTTGGAACTCTCGCCTATTGATATAAGATCCAGCACCAGTATCAACGCATTCAAAGAGAACTATTGTAATTTTATAAAGGAAGGTTATGCTAGCTTGCGCTTGGTTACGTTTTCCATTTCATAAATTTTTTACATCGTCTGACCCCCTTTTGATTTTACATTTAACATTGCATTGACCGTTTTCTGTTCTGTTGTTACTTCTTTTTTTTTTTTACCTTTTCTTTTACCATTTTTTAACTGCTTTTGATGTTCGTTAATTAGTTTTATATCTTAGGGTAGGGCCACAAGTTTACCAGTTCTTAACAGTAATGTGTCTTCTTCAGTAAATAAAGTTATTATTATTATCAT